GGTATGCTTCCCTAACACCGAAATTCCCTACTTTGCGTCGAGTTCAACACTGCCACTTTTTTGTACTTCAGCATGTCAGTTGCTCTCTGAGGGCGTAATAGCTGTCTTTGGACCTGACAGTCCAGCTACATCAGCTCAGGTTCAATGGATTTGCCAGACCCACCATGTGCCCTACCTTCTTGCCCAGTGGGACCCAATAGAATTACTCGATGAAGTTGCAGACGTCTACGGTGACAATAAGGCTGCCCATCTCCTCAATTTCACCATCAACTTGCATCCCAGTCATGATGAAGTTGGAGAGGCGCTGGTAGATTTTCTGCACAAGGCGGAGGAATGGCAACAGCTAGGTTTCATCTATGCACATGACGATAGTAAGATACCTTTTAAATCACATGAAGCGTTTTATTTAAGTGTCATTTAAGACTTCGACCGCCCAAGGCCCCTCCTAGTCGGATCTTCTTATGCCCAGATGTAGGGTTGAATTTTAATTTTGCAAATTTAAAAGATTGGAGCCTCGAAGGTATTGTGTTCTTAGAATAGAAGACGTAAGAATTTTAGAGGGAAAGTTGTCACCGGGCATGATGTCTTAAACAGACATGATGATGTAAAAAATGTTTGCATCATGGAAACAAGTCCTTACCATTAGACACATCTCCTGTGGATATCCACAGCCTTGTTGAGAGGTCTCTTGCGACAATGTAAAAGCGACCGACTCATTGCGCCAAGCCATGCGCCTAGAGCATCTTGACCACGAGCAATTAGTAGCCTTCCACTCATATTCACCCGCCTCTACAATTTTACGGTTTCAAATCATTTTGCCGCTTTCCCACGCTCTTGTTAAGGAAAAATTGTCCATTTTTTTAAAATATGCCTTCATATATTTTTTAAACGCTTGAATTGTTTCCTCTGTCAACTAAAAACTAGTCGTCCGTACTTTCGATTTTCAGGTCTGGTGAGATACGAGAAGCTGTTATCCATGTTTAAGGGTAGACTGATGGTCCGAAGGCTTAACACAGTTTCACTGACGCACAAATACATCATCAAGTACTTCAAAACTACACGATCACAAAGTCGTTTTGTGGTGGACATTCCCAAGGCCGAGATCGAAGAATTCTTAAAATTGGTGGGGATTTCTTCCTCTTATCCGGCCGGATGGATACGTCCCTCAACACTTCCATTTACTTTTACAGATTTCGGAGTACAATATGACAGACCAGTATTACAGTTACATATTCACAGATTGGGTAAGTGAAATTCATTTTAGCCTATTCTAGACTTTTTAAAACCACATTAAAAGTGCTCCGTTTCGCTTTTGTATGATGAGTTGGTCCGATTAGGCGCAACTAGTCCGTTAATCGAGCAGTAACTCTTGCCCACCATTGTTATCTGTTCCAATCACTTTGAATATTTTTGCAGCATAAAAAAATACCACCGTCAACATTTGTTAAAACGAATTTGCTTGCTGTTACTCATTTGAATCTGTCGTCGCTGGCTCCAAAAACAGAAGTAGCAGCAGTTATTTTCATAAAAAGTCGGTTGATTATGAGCGGAAGACAAATGGGGTTAACTCGGTTACTCGGACTGGCAGGAGCATGAAATCTTCCTCCCACATGAGGATCGACAGTAAACAAAAAATATTGCTAAACGACAATCCATCCATAAAAGGGGATGGCAAACTACAAGCCTCTGATCCCTTGCACTTCACATCATCTAAAGGAAATCCCCTCTAAACCACTTTTTCTGAAAACCTCCGTCAAAACAGTAAATAAATTTTTAAGAAGTGCTACTTGGCGAACCACACGGCGGCATACCTTGTCTTGAATTGGACGGCTGGCTCAATGGGTACAGGTTTCTGGTTTGCAGCATGTGAAGGCTACCAACCAAACTTGTGTCCCCTTGCAAGCCATTTTTTGCAGCCATTTAATCAACTTTGCTACCAATCGAAAGTCCATGCCATTCCTTTGTAAGAGGTGAAATGAAGGCGTGAAGAATCACCTGCAGCGTGAGACAAGAACTCCCCCCGCACTGACAGCATTCCATGACGGAATGACAACGAATGGAATGGGATG